TAAGCATTGACATAACTTGCATTTACATTTTACACTTGTCAAGTTATGTTGCAGTTTGAGAGATTGTAATCATTAACTCACTTGAAAACTTAAATAAAACTAATTACTGTTTTTCTAAAGTCATGACACCAGACAAACATCATCTTAACCTTACTTATGTGGACATGACAATGAACCAGTTTAAGTGCTTAACTACGGTATACTAAAAAGATTAGGGATGTCATAGTTCTTTTAAATAACCCTGAAAAGCACTCCAAGTTGTTCAGTTTGGTTTTGGTTCTATTTTTCGGGATTTCTGTTCGGGTCTGGTTTGTGTATTAGACATACCTGTCAACATGGCCAAAATTTTTTGGGGGAGAAAACACGCGAAAACTTTTTGTAAATAAAAAATCGCACATTTCACTGTATTATAAAACAAAAATAAACAACATACAATTAAAAACATTTTTAGCTCAAGTGAGCTTTTCTGATCACATTTTGTCTGTAGTCCGTCTGTCTGTCCGTCTGTCTGTAAACTTTTCAAATTTTCGACTTCTTCTCCAGAACCACTGAGCCAATTTCAATCAAACTTGCCACAAAGCATCCTTGGGTGAAGAGGATTCAAGTTTGTTCAAATGAAGGGCCACGCCCTCTTTCAATTGGAGATAATTAAGAATTAGTGAAAAATTAATAGCATCTTTTAAAAATCTTTTTCTCAAGAACCACAAGGCCAGGAAAGATGAAACTCATGTGGAAACATCCTCAGGTAGTGTAGATTCAAGTTTGTTCAAATCATGACCCCCAGGGGTAGGGTGGGGCCACAATGGAGGATCAAAGTTTTACATAGAAATATATAGGAAAAATCTTTAAAAATCTTCTTCTCAAGAACAGCAAAGCCATGATGAGTTATATTTTTATGGAAGCATCCTCAGGTAGTGTAGATTCAAGTTTGTTCAAATCATGACCCCAGGGGGTAGGGTGGGGCCACAATGGAGGATCAAAGTTTTACATAGAAATATATAGGAAAAATCTTTAAAAATCTTCTTCTCAAGAACAGCAAAGCCCTGATTGGTCATATTTATGTGGAAGCATCCTCAGGTAGTGTAGATTCAAGTTTAGTCAAATCATGACCCCAGGGGGTAGGGTGAGGCGACAATGGGGGATCAAAGTTTTACATAGAAATATATAGAAAAAATTTTAAAAAATCTTCTTCTCAGGAACAGCAAAGCCCTGATTGGTCATATTTATGTGGAAGCATCCTCAGGTAGTGTAGATTCTATTTTGTTCAAATCATGACCCCCGGGGGTAGGGTGGGGCAACAATGGGGGATCAAAGTTTTACATAGAAATATATAGGAAATTTTTTTTAAAATCTTCTTCTCAGGAACAGCAAAGCCCTGATTGGTCATATTTATGTGGAAGCATCCTCAGGTAGTGTAGATTCTATTTTGTTCAAATCATGACCCCCGGGGTAGGGTTGGGCCACAATGGAGCTCTTAATAGTCTTACTCAAAGTCTTAAATAGAAATATAGGAAAATATCTTCTTCTAAAGAACTGCAAAGCCATGATTAGTCATTTTGATATGGAAGCATCCTCAGGTAGTGTAGATTCAAGTTTGTTCAAATCATGACCCCTGGGATAGGGAAGAGCCACAATAGGGGATCAAATTTTTACAAAGGAATATATGGGAATTTTTTTAAAAAAATCTTCTCAAGTACAACAAAGCCATTTGTTAAATTGACGTGGAAGCATCATCAGGTAGTTTAAAATCCCCCCCCCCCCCCCCCCCCCCCCCCCGGTAATCTTTTCAATACTGAACTGATTTGTGCTTTTGCCTAGCCAATGTGCTCAGGTGAGCGATGTGGCCCATGGGCCTCTTGTTTAAATATTATTATTTATTTATAAAATTTACAACTTTTTATTCATACATTGTTTATGAGTACCATATGTAATTTTTTGAAATTATAAAAAAAAAATATGTTCTTCACTGTATAGTATGCATGTCCATAAGAGTGTAATTTGAATAATATTCATGGCAAATATCATAGTTTAACTTGGCAATTAGAAAAATTAATAAGGTTCTGCAGACAGTCTGAGTTTCCAGCTTTTAATTGATGGATGAATGGATTTTTCTCACTAGTAGGGAGCAAGAGAGCTGTGTCCTGGATTTAAAGATCTGAAATTGAAATAACTGGAAGTAATCAAAACTTACATCCTTTAAAATAACATGTGTAATCTAGTATGAATGAAATACATGGATTCTCAGATCCTCTATTCTTTCTGTTACTCTCATTATAATATAGAATAGAACAGAATAGGATTTATTACCAAATCAGGGCCCAATGGGCATAAACATATAACATCTATAATTACAGATAGGAGAACAGACAGAATACAACATATAATGAAGAGCAATTATATGATTTTTTCCTTAAAATCTCTATCATTATTGTAGTCATGTTCTAATATGATAAATAAATAAACTAAACTAATTGAATTGTTCTAATATTTTAAAATTCAGAAACTTTATTACCCTGTTTAGCTGCGTAAATTCAAAGAAGTCTTCTAAAGGTACTGTCATGTTGCTCTGCAGTTTCAGGGGCTTTTATATGCTGATGTTGATGCAGGATTTGCTAAGTCACTGAATCTCATAATCTGCGGCGTTCCCTCTGCAGACTCTTCATTAGCTACCATGAAATAGTTTCCCTTTCCTCATTAAATTGATAATAGAGTACTGTAGTTTATATCTTTCCAGATCACTGTATTGTTTATGGAGGAATTGTTTTGTCTTAGGTACTTGTAAACTTATTTGCAGCAAAGTATCAAGTATATCCATACCGTTATTTACCATCCTTTTTAGCAAAATTTCCACATCTGGCATCTCTGTCTTTGATAATATACACTTTTAATGAGAATAGAGAGCAATTACAACTGCAATTACATCTGGTAGCACAGTTGACACCTTGTTGATTACCTGTTATCAGTGGCAATAAACAGATTATCTACCGATAAACACTGCATGACCTCCATTTTTGTGTGTTGACTTCTCGGTATTTTACGAACTGAAGTAGGTAAAAAATCGGGATTTTTTCAAAATCGGTAGAAACGGCGATTAAAAAAACTATCGGGAGACATGCGGTAGGGAGGGTTCAAAATCGGTAGACTCCCGATAAATTCGGGAGAGTTGACAGGTATGGTATTAGAATCTGTTTGGTTTCGAAATCAAAAGAATGATGACAACAACACTATAACAGTGATAACTAAACATCACAACTAAAATCTTCTTATCCCTGACAAAATGCTTATCAAGAAATTATGGGATAATTATTGAAAGGAGCGGTCATGTTGTCGCTAATGGTCAGCCTAGTAGTTCAAGTAGTCCTAAACACCAATATCAAGACATTAACATGGATAGGACTTGTTTTTACCTCACCTGAGCTGAAAGCTCAAGTGAGCTTTTCTGATCACCTGGTATCCAGCATCCGTCCATCTGTCTGTTTAGCTGTCCGTAAACTTTTCACATTTTCAGCTTCTTCTCAAGAACCATAGCACCAATTTTAACCGAAGTTGGTACAAAGCATTCTTGAGTAAAGTGGGGTTTAAATTGATGAAATGAAGGGCCAAACCCCCTTACAAGGAGAGAAAATCAAGAAAAGACAAAAAATAGGGTTGAGTCATTAAAAAATCTTCTTCTCAAGAACCACTGAGCCAGAAAAGCTGAAATTTATGTGAAAGCTTTCTGATGTAGTGCAGATTTTAAATTCTTCAAATCATTGCCCCCCCCCCCCCCCTCCCCGGGGAAGGATGGGGCCACAATGGAAATTCAAAGTTTAACATTGAAATATAATGGAAAATCTGTCTTCTCCAAACCACTGGGCCAGAAAAGCTGAAACTTAAGGGGAATCATTCTGGGATAGTGTAGACTCTAAATTGTTCAAATCATGGCTCCCAGGGGTAGGGTGGGGCCACAATGGGGAATCAGTGTTTTACATTGAAATATAATGGAAAAATCTTTAAAAATCTTCTTCTCAAGAACCACTGGGCCAGATAAGCTGAAACTAAATTGGAAGCATCTTTGGGTAGTATAGATTCTAAATTGTTCAAAACAAGACCCCTGGGGGGAAGGATGGGACCACAATGGGGAATCAAAGTTTTACATTGAAATATAATGGAAAATTATTTAAAAATCTTCCTCTCCAAACCACTGGGCCAGAAAAGCTAAATCTTAAGGGGAATCAATCTGGGATAGTGTAGACTCTAAATTGTTCAAATCCTGACCTCCAGGGGTAGGGTGGGGCCACAATGGGGAATCAAAGTTTTACATTGAAATATTATGGAAAAATCTTTAAAAATCTTCTTCTCCAGTTCTAGAACCGCTGAGCCAGAAAAGCTAAACTTATGAGGAATCATTCTGGGGAAGTGTAGGTTCTAAATTGTTCAAAGCATGGTCCCCAAGGGTAGGTTGGGGCCACAATAAGTATTACAAGTGGGAAAATCTGGTGAAGGACAGCAGGGCCAAAGCTACTCAGGTAAGCATTGTGGCCCATGGGCCTCTTGTTTGAAGGTGAATTTTATGTTATAAAGACTTTCCAAGTTTAATTCATGAAATTAAAGCTTAAAATGGTTTACTGAACCGACCCAACCCGAAAAATTTTTGATCTAATAAAGGTGTATAACAATGGTACTGTATAAGGACTTCATGTTTTCCTGGCCATGCTACTGTAGATTTCGAAAACAGAATTTTGATTAACAGGAATCTACAGTACCAGCTGAGAGCTTCATACCAAAGAAACAAAGTATATTACATTATCACATTTTGCCTTAACCTTGATGAAACGTAAAAATGCAAAATGTAATAATCCAAGAAATGTTAATGCATTTAGCATTATTACATTCTGCTTTGATCTCAAGGCAAAATGTTATAATGCGAAATGTGACAACTTCAGTCTATTGCATTTTGTGTCATTATTACATTTTGTGTTGTAAAAATGTTTTCTCAGAATTTTTTTTTTATTGTAAAGAAGGTGAAGGAAAGCATGTGGATGATTTATTTCCATTTTTCATTGACCATGCCAAGAAGATATATCCACATTTTGAGTTTAAACAAGACCTTCAGCTAATCTGTGATCTAACGCAACCTGCTAATTGGTAAGGTTTTTTTCAGCAGCTCAGACTCAGAATGGATAAGACTATCTCTTGTCTCAAGGACCCTAATTGTTAAGATTATCTCCTGTCTCAAGGACAAATTAGTAAGCTCATCCGTCTTTCAGCCTACATTTATTGTGTCCTGAATACATATCACTGAATACCTGTTTACTGGAAAGCTCAGGTAAATATTCCACTATAATATTTGATAACAGACTGATCAAAGTTATCATTCTTAATTAAGTATTTATGCTTATGGGCGCAAATTTAGTGATTAAATTTTAAGGGGGCTACTACCAAACAGCTGAAATAAGCCAAACGAGCACCCTGCTTAAAAACAACACTAATCAGTATTTTTCACTTTCAAAAGTAAAGATAATCAGGGAGAAATGGTTGAATTCAATTGTAAGGACTGGCTGAACAAAAATGTTACACAAGAGAAAAAGCTCCTGAAGTTAATGAGCATCCTTCACCAAATGTTTAGCAAGATGTTTCACCAAGACTACTTATTATCTTTAAAAAAAAATTCTACAGTGATCAGATCTTGCAGTATATTCAGCAGGACATTATCCATCATTTCTTACCTTCATTAAATGTCATGGTAGCTCAGTTGGTACAGCCCTCGCTCCGTGATCAGAAGGTCATGTGTTCGAATCACGGCCACAACTGACCTAAGTCGATAAAAAATAGGTAGCAACTAAGGGTGCAACGATAAACTGTTTGACGGTATATCGCGGTATATTTTTCCACGGTTCAATTCACGATACGCTAAACTGATATCGCGGTTCAGTTCAATCGGACCAGAATTATCCGTTTTGTCTGTTTTATTTCCTTTTTTACTATTTCAAAATGGCTTCCGCGCAAAACGTGATGTTGCCGATAACGCATTTACGGCAGTTAAACTCATCTCCAGCATCTTACAGACCTCAGATTTAACAAGGAGAAGGACTTAATGTGATTATAAGTTATAGGTGTTAAGACCCTTTAGATCTAAACGTATTCTTTGGTAATACACGATATTTCATCACGGTGTGTATTTCGATGAAAATTCGCTGTCTTGTTGACTAAAACATATTAACATGAGAAATATGACAACTGGTTTTCTACGTAAATAAAAGGAATAAAAGAATGAATGTCTTCCCTTTTCATTCCAATTTAAAAGGAAGATTATTAGGAAAGGTCCCCGTAGTTCCCTGTAAATGTTCATCATTGGTTTAGAATGCTGTCACAACTCAAAGATCTACCTAACAATCCAATTCAAGTTAACAAAATGTTATTTTAATTATTATTAAAAAATATGAAGATTTTGTATAAGCCTGTCAAGTTTAAAAAAAATATGATGACAAACTTGAAAGACTTTTTAACCTTGTCATGTATCGTGATACGTATCGTATCGTGAACTGAATACCGTGATACGTATCGTATCGTGAGGTTAGTGTATCGTTGCACCCCTAGTAGCAACTGTTCCATCACCAAGCGCTCAGCACATTGAAGTGAAAGCTGGGGAAGGTTGTGTGTTTGAATCACGGCTGCAACCGACCTATATCGATAAAAAATAGGTAGCAACTGTTCCTTCGCCAAGCACTCAGCACATTGAAGTGAAAGTTGCGGGTCCTTCGGATGAGACCTTATAAACAAAGGCCCCTTGTCACAGAAGGCATTGGCACGATAAAGAACCTTCACTGTTCAATGACCCTGAGTGCTGAGTAAAGGTCTAAATTTGAAGCCCTTCACTGGTATATGATGACGTCTCTGTATGAATGAAAAATTCTCAAACGGGACGTTAAAAAACCTACAATCAATCAATCTTACCTTCATTATGAAAGAGTTCTGTTAAGAAATTGCAATATCATGTATTGTTAAGACTCTTTCAAGTCTCAAATGATAAGGTTACTGTGGAATCATTAGATTTTGTAGTCGGTCAATATTATTTTGTGGAATTCATGGGTACCCTGTAGCCACAAATTCACATCCTCAATGAATTAATAATTAGAGTTTTAAAGTAATCTTTCCTTTTGAAGGTATGAGTGAATGCATGAAATTATAAGCCCTTTAACCTGTAAAATTAGGCAATCCATGAAAATTGGCCCCCACGAGTTTTAATGATTCCACAGTACATGAGTGGACACTGAAACATGCTACTACCCCACACACACATTGTACGAACAGTACATGCTCGCATCACTGTTTGCACACTACACTGTAAGGTTTACACAAAATGCTACAGTTTGCATGAAACGATCAAGCACATGAAAGTTGTGCGCTTAGCTAACCTGAGCTGAAAGCTTGAGTTAAGTTTTTTATCACCCGTTGACCCTTGTCCATCCCTCTGTAAACTTTTCACATTTTCAACTTTTTCTCAAGAACCACTGGACCTATTTTGACCAAAGTTGGTTCAAAGCATCCTTGGATGAAGGGGAGTTTAAATTGTTAAAATAAAGGGCGAAGCCCCCTTTCAAGAGGAGGTAATCAAGGGAAGGCAAAAATATGGTGGGGTCATTAAAAAATCTTCTTCTTAAGAACCACTAGGCCAGAAAAGGTGAAACTTATGTGGAAGCTTTCTTAGGTAGTGTAGATTCTAAATTGTTCAAATCATGGCCTCTGGGGTTTGAATGGGGCCAAAATAGCTAATCAAATTTTTACATCGAAATATGTAAGAAAAATCTTTAAAAATCTTCTTAAGAACCACTATCTTGAGGTAGTGTAGATTCTAAATTATCAAATCATGGCTCCCAGAGGTAGGGTGGGGCCCACAATAGGGAATCAAAGATTTACATTAAAATGTGTAGGAAAAATCTTGTGGGGTCATTAAAGAACCACTAGGCCAGAAACTTTGTGAGGTAGTTTAGATTATAAATTGATCAAATTATGTCCCTTAGGGGTATGGTAGGGCCACAATAGGGAATGAAAGTATTACAAGGGAAAAAACCTGATGAAGAGCAGCAGGGCCAAAATGACTTGAGTGAGCTTTGTGGTCCAAGGGCCTCTTGTTTAGCATGTTTCAGGATCTGTATCTTGTGTCAAAGATAGTTTCAAATTATCATTATTGCAAATCCAATTTTAACCAAATGCACTTTTTGTAAAATAAAGTCTGGGAGAGTATTATTGGAGCATATTAGAAACATTTTCACCACAATTTTTCAAATTGAATTTAAAACATATTGAATTTGTTATTTAGGTATCCTGAAGCTCGAAGAATGAAGAGAAAAATTGTTTTTCACAGTGGGCCTACTAACAGTGGGAAGACTTATCACGCACTAAAGTCATTCATGAATGCAGAAAGTGGTGTGTACTGTGGCCCACTTAGACTGCTAGCAGTGGAAGTATTTAACAAATGTAGAGAAAATGTGAGAAAATGATAAGTTGAGAAGTATTCATTAGTGATCAATTCACCTCATTTTTGAGCTCTTTTTATTCTGGGAAAGTCAAAGCTTTGGATGATAGCTCTATCTTTGCTCAGTTAAGAATACATTTATTAGTATTTGTCAGTCATTTTTAGCTCACCTGAGCTGAAGGCTCAAGTGAGCTTTTCTGATCAAAATTTGTCTGTTGTCTCTTGTTGTCGGCATCAGTAGGTTACCTGAGTCACTCAGATGACCTCCTGCTATCTCTTTTCATCCATTATCTTGCGATGTGCGTTAACATTTAAACATTTTAGCTTCTTCTCTGGAACCACTAAACCAATGTCAACCAATTTTGACATAAAGCATCTATGGGTGAAGGGGAACAAAAATTCTGAATTTCATGGTTCCTGTGCCCCCCTCCTGGGGGCCTGAGGGGTGGCGTTAAAACCATCAAAATTAGTGCAATATTTGAAAATCTTCTTTTATTGTCATGATCCCTCAGTCGGTAGAGCACTCACTCCACAATCGGAAGATCATGTGTTCAAATCACAGCCACAACTGACCTAAGTCAATAAAAAATAGGTAGCAACTGTTCCTTGGCAAAGTGCTTGGCACATTGAAGTGAAAGTTGTGGGTCCTTTGAATGAGACCTTAAAAAATTGAGGCCCCCTGTCATGGTAGGCATTGGCACAATAAAGAACCCTTACTGCTCAATGGCCATGAGTGCCGAGTAAAGGTCTAAATTTGAAGCCCTTCACCGGTAAATGGTAATGTCTCAATATGAGTGAAAAATTCTTGAATGGGACATAAAACAACATGCAATCAATTGATCTTTACTCCTGGATATCAAGGATGTCATGTTGGCATGATTGTAATAATCATTGAACCCTCTACAAAAATTGTGAAATTCATGGCCTCAGGGTCAGGGGTTCTGGAGTTAGGGTGGAGCTCATAGATCATATAGTGAAAATCATAAGCCCTTTAAAAATCTTCTTCTGTCCACCTGTTAATTTAGCAGATAAACTGCATGCATAGTTATGATGAGTAAGGGTGCCTCTTCCTAAATTTTGAAATTTGTGGCCCCAGGGTCAAGGGTCTGTTGGTGAGTGGGGTGGGTGGGCTGCAATTGATTATATAATGAAAATACAGACAAACCTCATTATCTTCAACTCGATGGGACTGAGAAAAAACTTCAAGACATCTGAGGATTTGAGATATCGAGGGTAAAATACTTAAAGAATAAGTGGTTGGGACTTCAAAATCACTTCGACATATCCATGGTATTCGAGATATCGGTGTTCGAGATACCGAAGTTCAACTGTACATTAATTCTCTGAAAATCTTCTCTGCTTCTGGGTATTAAGCAAATAAATGTAGGGTATAGTTATGATGAGCAAGGGTACCTTTTCAGGAATTTTGAATTCGAGGGCCCCTGGGTCAGGGGTTCTAATGTTAGGCTCAGGTTTTATGTATTATAAAGTAAAATGCTTAAATTCTTTGAATATCTTATTCTCTGCTCCTGGATACTTAGCAGATAAACTAAGTGCATAGTAATGATGAGCAAGACTGCATCTTCCAAAATTTGAATTCCATGACTCCTAGGTCAGGAGTTCTGTTCTTCGAGGGTCTCTATCGATTGAATAGGGAAAAATGCATTGTTTCTTTCAAAATCTTCTTTTCTGCTTCTGGGCATTAAGCAAACAAACTAAAAACATAGTTATGATGAGCAAGGGTGCTTCTTCCAGAATTCCAGAACTGTCAGTTCATGGCCCCTAGGTCAGGGTTGTGGTGTTAGGATGGGGCTCAGTTGATTATATAGTGAAAATGCATTATTTCTTTGAAAATCTTCTTCTTTGCTCCTGGGTATTTAGCAAACAAACATGGTGCATAGTCATGATGAGGAAGGATGCCTGTATGAATTTCATGGCCCCTGAGTCAGGGGTGCTGGTATTAAGATTGGGCTCTATTGATAATATAATGAAAATTAAATTCTTTGAAAATTTTCTCCTTTGCTCCTGGGTATTAGGCAGATAATTTAAGTGCATATTATGATGAGCAAGGGTGCATCTTCCAAAATTTTGAAATTTATGGCCCCAGGGTCAGGGGTCAATTCTACCACTTGGTCAAGTGTTCTGGTATTGGGCAGGGCTTTATTATTTTGTATTCTACTGAGAGAAGTTATTCCCCTTTGTTATTCACCTATGATAATTAATCACTGTAAATAATGTAATTGAAAGGTCAATTTTATAACAGATTTGTACAATAATTTTTTTGATATGTTATACAAAATTACATTAAATGTTCTTCATAAACCAAGAAAGGCCAATGTGAGAGGGAATGCAATGGGTTTACCAACAGTTCTGAAGCACTATTGTTTTCAGGGATTTTCCACTGCCCAGTATAGGGCCGAATACAGGCCTCATTCCCAACTGCAAAATCCCTACCTTTTTCCCAAAATGAACCCATAAAGTTAACTTGATCAAAAGTTCTGGAATAAAACATGACCAGGTTTGGAAATCTGAGGGAAATGAACAAAATTTTAAGAAACTTTGCTCAATCTTAATTGAGTTGTGTCACGTGAAAAGGGACCTTTGTGACCAAATTTCAGAGAATTGGTTTTTGACAGTTTCTGATAGAGCAAGTCCTTCTAAATATTTTAGTACCAAATTTTTATTGGATAACTACTGAATTCTAATTAAAACTTAAAATGAAATCAGTGCAATGCTAACAAGCTAACTCTATAAAATGTTAAACAACGTCACATAACGTCATTGTAACGCCATGGCCAAAACCACTTTAGTATTCGGTGAAATTAATTTTACCAGATGTATTTAAAAATTAATATCATGAAATGAATCCATTTATTGTAAAATAGTGATCTCTGTCCAATGAAAAAATATATCATTAGCATGTATACTGAAATAGAAAGTAAAAAGTAAATTGTCAAAGAATATATTCAATGACATCATCTCATCAATACGTTTTTCTTACATCATCTACATAATCATACTTCAATTTCTGGAGGGTGTGCTTGTAAATTTTATTTTGAGGATTTTTATTTTTTGCTTTCAATTATTTTACACTCATTTAAATAACGATGTCTGTATTATTTTAATTTCTATCGAAAATGATAATGAAAATCTGCCCCCCCCCCCCCCCCCATATAAAATAGGCTTTATGTGTTTGTTTTGTTTTTCTCAACATCCTCCCAACTATGCTATGCGCCTGTATGTCAGTGATTTATGATGCTAAAATATATCCAATATACGCACATTGTATCATAAATTGTGACGTAATAACATCAGTACATGAAATGGAGTTTTTGTACATAGGGAAAAGAGAGAAAGAGAGAGAAAAAAATGGCATCTATACTTGGAAATTTGAGCCCGGCACGATGTGCTTGTAACAAATGCATGTTACCTCAGTGCTTGCAGTTCGTATAAGTTTTGTTTAAGACAAATATTGTACAATTCTGTAAAAAGAAAAACGTGTATTTGTTTAATAGTAAATAATATTTCACTATAGACGTAGGAAATTAATTAATTTTGTTAAGCACTACAAAATTACTTGAAATGTAAAAAATAACCAGTTTTACTATCTTGGCTTGGTGCGAAATAATCAGTCAGACAGCATTTAATGTAAGATGTTATTCCACTTTAAAATGTAAGAAAATTGTAAAGAACTATATACGGTAAGGGCGTATTCCTGCCCCCATAATAGTCAAATTTTGAAAATCTCTTGAAATGAGGAAAAAATGCATATATTGTATAAAATAATCCAAATTAAGACAATATATTAAGAAATTGGAAAAATTAGTTGGCTTTTCTTGTCTCTGTGACGTCACAAACTTTTTGGATTTCCGTTATTTTTAAAATAGAGGCCAAAATGCACAGAGTTTGTTCAATTTTGGCTATAGTATTTATAGAGCGCAAGCTTGCTCAGGTACCATATTCACATATTTCATTGATATTATCAATCTACACATTATATCAAAAGATCTAGTCTGAGCAGACCTGCGCTCGATAATTTCCAATCAAAAAACCGACGTAAAATACGCTATTTTCTCTCAAAATCATTGCAATTTGGAATTTACGTCATTTTATTGACGTCATATCTAACTAATGATGTCATAGTTGATAAAAATATTTAATGCTTTGAAGTCTGCAAATATCCACCTGGTTTAGAGCATAATTAAAGATTTCTCCATCAAAGTTTTATTTTGGGGGCAGATACTGGCCACTACAGAATATAGTCCTTTATTAAGCTTCTGGTGTATTTTTCTAATGTACCACCTACTGCTCCATGTACACGTTTTGGTTGTTTCATACAAGATATTTTAGTGACCAATCAAGGGCCCCTGATGACATTTTAACTTATAAAAGTACAAATTAATTATTATTTCCCTAAAAAAATGATTTTTTTTTTTACATAATTATGCCATGTTATATGCATGTAAATTATCGACTATCATGTATTCAGTGTAAATGATTATATTATAATACATGTATAAGTGGTGTGAAATAGGTCTCACCTCTGAAAATCCAGACAATGCATGTACAAGCTTTCATCAGTAATAAATTTCTTTAATTTATTCTCAGCATGTGTCAGCAAAAGTTTCAATTTGCTTTTATTTTGTATTTTGTGATTACAGGGGCGTAGCATCGATTTTTGAAAAAAAGGCCAAAGAAAAAAATCAACTTACCTAAAAAAAAAACTTGACAAGCAAATAATTGTCAGATTCTCAAAACTCAAAATTCATATTTCGGGAGGGGGTGGGGGGTGGGAGGTTCCAACTGCTTTCAGTACCAATCTTTTTATTATACATTATCCTTATTTGACTGCAACAAAAAGTGGGAGGGGGGGGGGGCTTTCAATTAACATTTTCAATAGTAAAAATTATGTTTGAAAAAAAAAGGGGGGGGGGGGAGCGACCCTGCTGATGATACGTGTGTGGATTAATATGGTTCTTCATGATTATTGCCTAACATGTACGCCATATCAAA